TCAGCCCACAAACATCAAGCAGAAAAATGGTGCACTGTCCCAGTCAGCAGCCAAACATGCTGCTCTGCCATCTTCCTCCACACTGTGATGGGAAGAGGATGGTTTGAGGACTAGCGGATGTAGCAGAGCTCTGCAGCGGACCAGCCTTGTGCCACATCTGCACAGGCTCACGGGGTCTGCAGGTAGGGAAGGAGAAAGCTGACCTTGCACTCAACTGTGCTGGTCACCTCAATGGGTGCTAACTCAGCCACATTTCTGTCTGGCTCATGGAGACACTTCATCTCATGATGAAGTTGACATCTTCACCACAAATACTCCCTATGCTCAGGACCTTCAGCTGGCTTTAGCCTACGTGCAGTGATGTCACAGAATCATCGAATGGTTTGGGTTGGAAGGCACCTTTAAAGGTTATCTAGTCCAACACCCCTGCAGTGAGCAGGGACAGCTTCAACTCAATCAGGTTGCTGCTCCTGGGGAAGTAGATCAAAATCTGTTCCTCTCACAGCAGACGAAATAAAAAGTAGCCTGTGAATAGTGCTACTGCTGATTTTTGAGATTGGGGAAAAAAACGAGTCTTTTTACAATGACCAAAAATATCCCAGCGAAAAATATTTGGGATGAACTGCTGGCAGTATTTTCTGGTGAAGTGTCAAGTTTTCAGCTGTTTGACAGTATTTCTGCGTGACTGAAACTCCAGAGAACACTTGTATTGGCCATTTCCTGTGTTTTTCCTGGTAAAAATGTACATAGTAGTGTGGAGTTAATTTTTAAAACAAATATTCATACTTTCTTGAGTTTAGTATTAAGTTTTCCTGTAGTTATCATCACTAAGGTTTTCCAAAGACAGGTTATCTCTTAAATAAGTACTCTAGAAAATGCTGGGAAATCTAATTATTGAATCAGTGTATGGGGGAAACTTCTAGCTTCTGCTCTTTGTACTTACGGCATTTTGCTGCATCAATACCTTCTCAAATGTGCAAGTACAAAGTCTGCCACTGTAGAGAAGACACAACCAGCTGGAGGCACAACGCTGTGCCTGCAGGGCTACAGGCACAGCTGAAAACATCCTCAAGACCAGACGAGGACTTGGTCGCAGGAGAGATGCTGGACAGGCCCCCCAGACTGGGGTTAGATGAGGTCATTTTCTGTATGCACCTCTCCATTTGTCGAATTGTGATGGAAAAGGCTGGCTTTTGGTGTCTGAATTGATATCTCCCCACCCAGGGCCTTGTGTGCCCCAGAGAGGGAAGTCCACAAAGTCCAGCTTTCACTCCTGTCAAAATCCGCACTCGAGTAAGAGTACATACTTTTATGACTAGTGTATATCAGCAGATTTCCTCCAACTGGTGCTATTTCAGTCCTGTTGCTGAGCAACAGGGACATTTTAGCAGTACTGTAAAGAAACCATACGCACAGAAGTGAAAAACAACAAAAGATGAAGGATATGTCTCAGCCATTAGAAAGATTTTGCACTTCATTCAGAACTAATTCTTCATTTTACACTACACAGGAAATTCATTCTTCCCAACACCCCATTCAAAATAACAGTTATTTGATAATTTGACATGTGTCAGTCAGAATACCATGCTTTTTCTAATTATCATTCATGAAGCAGTCATTGCTAACAGGACTAATTTATCTTACTATTGAAACTGTTGGGTTTCTTTTCGTTTCAATCAAATAAATGCTGTTGAAGTCACAATTTTTTTGCAAGCACTCTGTTTGCATTGTTGTTTCTGACACACAGGTTATATCAGAGTCATAAGAAACATTTATGTTGGGCAGGAGTTTTGGGGCTCTTTCCTAGACCACTTCCTTCTCAGTGTCAGCATAACATAGCAACAGAGATGTCACTGCATTCAAAATTTAAAACAAATGAACAGACAAACAAACAAAAAAAAGCCCAGAAAACAGAACACAACACCAAGCCATCTGCTTAGAATCAGATCTTATCCAAAAGTCTAACCCAAATGAACTGCCTCACTGCGATTTCCTAAGCCACTCTCATTGCTTCTGTCTGATGTGCATAATTCTCTCCAGGACTCACAGTTCCATGTCAGGCAACTGCCCCAGTCTCCACCACTTGACACCGGCATGTCTCCTGCCTCCCAGTACCCTCTGCTGTGGTCCAGCTGCCCAGTAGCCCTGGCTGCAGCCACACACCTCGTAGTACTGCATGGGTCTTGCTGCTGGAGGTAAGGGGAGTGAAAGCATGAATGACAACTTGAGACAAGAAATCGCAGGACGCTGAGCAAGGACCAGCAGATTTTTGGCAGCAGAGCCCTCTGCTCTCCCTTCCCAAAGCAGTGCTGCTGGTTCACAGAGCCCAGGGCATGCTGACACCTCCAGCAGTGGTAGCAAGACACAGGTTACAGCCCTCGTTTCACCTTCCCCAAGAAAACCAGTTTCTGGGCAAGCACAGAAGAGGCCAATATTTAGCCATGTAGGAAAGACACTACACCCTTGGTGATGCTGAACTGGGAGGAGGAAACGTTCAGCCCAGGTCACCTGAAGACAAGACCCAAGAGTCAGCTGTAGACGCAGGACCAAAACCAGGAGGTATGAGTGCAGTACATTAGTATTTTAATCTGGGACATGCAACGATGCAATCTCCTTTACCTGACCCTCCAGGACTGTTGCAGGTTTTGTTTAGTTTTACCATGCTGTACATGAAGTACAAACAGTATGAAGAATGCTTGTGTTGATAATTGTCTAATCCTTTGAATCTTGTGATTAGCTAGTGATAATTCATCTGCTGAGAAAGACGCTAGCCATGAGGAACTAGGGTCATGCATTTAAAAGAAATACTTGATTATTTCCCCCTCCCTCAGAATATAAGCACTGGAAAGGTTACTATGGCAAGTGACTTGTTAGACATAAATTAACATCTTTCTGATGCTTTCCTCTTTGTCTGGCTACAGAAACCTGCCTTCAGGTGGTAAGGCTCTTTTTTGTTACCAGCAGTTCAGCTTAGAAATGGGGAAACAGTGTAATTCCCAAAGCAAATAGACTTCAATGACTTAAGATCCTCATTCTGCTTATTCTCCAAGGCACAGATAGAACAAGTTGGAAGTCTTAATATTTCATAGATCTGGACCAGAAGCCTTGGTCTTAGGTGCCTGAAGGCTACGGCCATGCTGGTAAATGAAAAGGATCAGGTGCTGGTGCACAGACATCTACCCTGCCCGACCGAACTTTCGTGACCTGGCATGATCCCAGCCTTTCTCAGCCAGCAACCCTCAGACAGTGCCTAGACACAGCTCAGCAGGCAGCGTGGATATCCCTTGGCTCCTCAGCACTTCCTAAACCAGCTAACATCTAAACATGTTTCACTCGCAAAGGGGCTCTGAAGGTTAAATCGCCTACCTTGAGGTTGAGCCCTCCTGACCTGTCACTGCATTTATTCCCCTTCTGTGCCTAACCATCTGCGTTCACAAGCGCAGCCTCCTGGTCCTGCACCGGTTGAGGTTTCGCTCCCTCTCTGGGGGGCTGCTGCCCACCCTGCCTCCAGCACCGGGGCCAAAGATGTCCTTGGCACACGTGAGGGGCAGACCACAGATCTCCATCTAGTTTTGTTTCTGGTTGCAATTCTGAACCCTGATTTCTGACACAAGGAAAGAAAGAGGGAGATGGAAAGCCACACTACTCTGGAGAAAGCAGGAACATAATTCCTAAGTGGAAAATGCTAATTCTCTAAATAAAACTGGGAGTGGGTCTTTATTAGTCTTCAAAAAACAGAGTACAATTACACCTTTAAAATATGACATTTTCTGAGATTTAACTTTTCACAGGAGAAGCAAATACAGCATAGACCTGTTCATGCTGAAATGCTAAAACAGGAATACGACTCTCAGCAAGAACTCAAGGGGCATCTGCCTAAGACCTCTTCACTGCTACTCTACAAAAATGCTGTCACCTCATCTGTCAGCCCCAGTGAACCAGTCATTCATCTCATCAGCCATCGTGATGCTGAACACCTTTTGTGTGGGTAAAAAAGGTAGAAAGGTTTTGCTAGTGATGACAAAGCTGCCATGTAAGTAGTAGGTTGTGTTACATCTGTCTGCCCTGACCTGAACCTTTCCTCATCTGCACAACGAGAAAATAAGAAAGCTTCCTGTATCTGGAATTGCTGGTTTTTTTATTACACATTCCCAGCCCTTCCCCATCTTTTCTCTGCTCTCTGTTGTTTTCCTCTACTCACATGACAGAGAACACCTACACCAAGTGGAAGCATCTGATAGCAAATGCGGGATCCTCATGGTGCCCAAAACATCCTGGCTTTACTCTCAGCCAGAGGAAGATACAACCCTTTCCTGCGTTTATGCACCCCCTGCATACAAAGGAGCAGTTTCCAGCTGAATAGGAAGATCTGGAATGATAAACCCCTTGAAACACCTCTCTGATTCACTTTATCTTAACCCAGCAGATCACTTATCTTCAACTTACCTACTCAGCTTAGAGAAGGGTGACTGAATCCTTCCTGTACAAAGAATACTTTCAAAACACAAACTCTCCCTCCCTGGATACAGACACCCCACTTAGCAGCCAGTGTTGTGCAGTGGTGGCTTAGCAACAAGACGGATCTCCTCGTGTAACTTTTCTGCTGGACACTGCAAGCAGCTAGCAAGCTTGCTACGTGTAATAAAGCTAAGTTTTATCCAACAAACAAGGAACACAGCAATAATTTGGAAGAAGTGCAGGTTAAAAAAAAATCCCCTAATGTGACATTGAACTTCTGTCTTTTGCCCCAAGAAAGCAGTTCCTTTTTGGCCATCCCACCATAAAAGGCTCTTTGAGCCTTCGCTCCCTTTTCCGTTTCCCCATTGCTGGTTTGCTGGCAGTGTGGTGTTGGTGATGGACATCGTCACCAACCCCTCTGGGGAAGCATTCTAGCTTCTACAGCACCACCAGCCACTTCGACTTCACTAACCTTTGAATATCCTTAGCCACAAGCCTCTCCAGTTGCTATCAGAGCTTCTTCTGGGGCTCTCCCCACACCCTTGTTCCTGCCACAGCAGTGTCCATCCATATGCATCCGTGAGCAGGACCCTCACTGGAGTTCACTCAACCCTTGCTGCCCTCTGCAGCTTGGTGGAAAGTACATACCATTCATTTCTGTACCGAAACACTTAAGGATTTCATCTCCGTGGGGTGGAGAATGACGAAAGATGTGTGACCCGGCAACAGAGTCCACAGCACCAGAGACTTGCTCCATGCAGATACAAGGGCAGCATTCCCAGAGGGCTAGGACAGCAACAAAACTATTACAGCGGCATTCATGCAGGCAGATTACATACCATATGTTCACCCTTCATCCACATGATACAGAAAACACTGTTTGATTGCACTAGTTTAACTGGAAAAGACAAAAAACTGGCTTTAGGAAAGAGGGGATCCCTACAGCAGTGCAAGCACACAGACCAGCCCATCCAAAACATAGCTGGGATTTATACATAGGGGAGCCTGAGAATACATTTAGCCAAAAAAATGAGTGATACAGCTTTGGGATGAATTTGCCACATTATAATTTTTTATTTTACTATGCCAAAGATGAAAGCTGATACAAAGCAGACAGAATAACTAGTTGAGTTTTGAAAGAGCAAATGCCCACTACCATACCCAATGACAGAAGCTGTGAACTGAAAGTCATGTTGGTGACTAAGAGCAGCATAGCAGGAACAGAGCAGAAAAGGAGAACTATCCTTATCCCTGAGATGTTTGCAGATGTGCTGAAAAGAAGTAGAGTGTGTCACAGAAATTAGTTACACTAAATGTGCTTGAGAAACGGGCTCAGCTGGATTGAGACATCCACACATTCTCCACTGAATACCAAAAGCTTTTTTTTTTAGTACAAAAATTTTTATTGTTTTATATTTTGCCTGCAATGAAAATTCCCGAAGAAAACCTTTCCCCTGACTGATACCTCCTGGAAGCTGAAGCTGTCTCTCATCTTCAGCGCAAGCAAGGCTCAGGAGCAGCGGGTGCCAAAGAAGGAATTACACAAGAGGGATGCAATCTGCATAGGTCCAGCCTAAACTCTGCTGGGATCTTGTGGAACGGTCCTTCACAGCAAGTCACACCACCCATCATCTCCTTTCCAGCACAGCTGAAAATCACAGCTGTAAGCATTTCGCTGCCTCCCAGGGTGACAATTCTGCAAACGAGCAGGAATCATAGAATCATAGAATCATAGAAAGTTTTGGGTTGGAAGGGACCCCTAGAGGTCATCTAGTCCAACCCCCCCACAGCGAGCAGGGACACCGCTAACTAGATCAGGTTGCTCAGAGCCCTGTCCAACCTGGCCTTGAATGTTTCCAGGGATGGGGCCTCCACTGCCTCTCTGGGCAACCCGTTCCAGTGTTTCACAACCCTCATTGTAAAGAATTTCTTCCTTATATCTAGCCTAAACCTACCCTGTACCTATCCACAAGACTGGCATAGACCAGCCAGGTGAAACCAGTGCCACGCTTCACGCTGGAGCACATGGCAGGCCAAGGACTGTTGAAGCCTACGGTAGCAGAGGAGGAATGTCAGCAAGAATGCCATGCAGGAAAGGCACATTGTCCTTCAAACAATCCTTCTCCCAGAGGAGGCCACGAACCTGTATGTTGCGGATTTACGTAATAAAGCTAGGGAGGTGAGAGAGGTCCCATTTGCCTCATGACCGATGATCACGCCAGCAAGTTCTGCACGTTCATTTGTTCCATTGTCCTTTCAAAGAATGACGCCTATTTGCAAGACTTGCAGAAGCCTGTGCTTTTCAATGAAGCTGTGAGCAAGCAACGAAAGAAATGCACCCAAACAGCTCTAACTTCAGACACATGGGGTTGTTGTTGTTCTCCTCAAAATATGCATAGCCAGATTTCTCCTGGTCTTGGGAGAGGTAACCACGTATTAGTGCTGGAGAAGACAGTTCCTTACAGACATCACCAAGCCATCCAGAACTGAAGTTCTTCTGGGAACACATCCAAAAGCACTCAAATGATAACTGAGAATCGTTTATACACTATGAGAAAAAGAGCCAAAGCCCTGATTATTCAAAATAATCAAGCCTGACAGGCAAATGAGAGTGATTGCACCTCAGAGAGCACACATGTCAGTTTTTCTTTCCCTTGCTACTTCATTATCTAATCTCTCTAGAGTATGATTATTTGTAAAAAAGTAATGCCTTTTGTCTACAAGAACTTGGCTCTGTTTCATCAACATGGGCTAGACCAAAGCCTGTCTGTATGACAACACTGGCAGAGGTTGCCCACTGCCAGGTGGATGCCCCATCCCTGGAAACATTCCAGGTCAGGTTGGATGGGGCTCTGATCGACCTGGTCTAGTTGGAGATGTCCCTGCTCATGGCAGGGGGGTGGGGCTAGATGATCTTTAAAGGTTCCTTCCTGCACAAACTATGCTCTGATCCTATGACAAAGTCACCTGCAGTCTATTCCTTGAAAGCCTACCCGTGGACAGCCTTTAGTCACCCATATCCTGGGTGATATTTGTGAGAAACCCATCTGTCCTTTGTACCAAGAAGTGTGATTAACTGCTCACTCCATTCATCATGTCCACTCCTAACCAGCACCTTCCCTTCCCCACCTGCTTTACCCAATTCCCAGCTTTAGACTACCAGTATTTTATTTACCCTGCAACGTGACCAAAATTCTTGCTGATGCCCTGGTTTCATCCTACTGTGCTTTAAGGCAATTTCTTTTCAAAAGGGACTACGACCAAAGGTGACAATCCATAAAAGGGGTTCAAGACTGGAGAGGAGAGAAATGACAGTATCAAAATACACAGGGAGCTTTTGCTGGGACTCGGGAAAAAAAGGAGAGTTTACCGATTATGGAAGAAAGGGCAAGAAACTCAAAGGGAGTACAGGGGTCTCGTTAGGTCATACAGAGAGGAAATTAGATAGGGAAAAGCCCAGCTAGAACTCAGGCTGGCCACTGTTGTAAGGGACAACAAAAAATGTTATTATAAATACATCAACAACAAAGGAAGGGCCAATGAGAGTCTCCATCCCTTAATGGGTGCAAGGGGGAACATTGCCACCAAGGATGAGGAAAAGGCTGAGGTACTTCATGCCTTCTTTGCCTCAGTCTTCAATGGTCAGACTGGTTGTTCCCAGGATATTCAGGCCCCCCGTGGTACCACACAGGGACAGAGAACAGAATAAACCTCCCGTAATCCAGGAGGAAGCAGTTAACGTCCTGCTACTCCACCTGGACACTCACAAGTCCATGGGGCCAGATGCAGGAGGGGAGGAGGAGGGGGGAGGGGGAGAAAAAAAAGCCACTCTCCATCATTTCTCAGCAGTCCCAGCTAACAGGGGAGGTCCCAGATGACTGGAGGCTTGCCACTGTGACACCCATCTACAAGAAGGGCTGGAAGGAGGATCCCAACAACTACAGGCCTGTCAGCCTGACCTCAGGGCCAGGGAAGACTATGAAGCAGTTCATTGCGAGTGCACCCACTGGGTGTGTGAAGTACAACCAGGGGATCAGGCCCAGCCAGCAGGTGTTCATGCAAGGCAGGTCCTGCTTGACCAACCTGATCTCCTTCTACGACAAGATGACCCATATAGTGTATGACAGAAAGGCTGTGGATGTCATCTACCTGGACTTTGCTAAGGCCTCTGACACTGTTCCTCACAGTATCCTGCTGGAGAAACTGGCTGTTCATGGTTTGGATGGGTGTAAACTTCACTGGGTAAAAAACTGTCTGGATAGCCAAGTCCAGAGAGTGGTGGTGAATGGAGTTAAATGCAGCTGGTGGCCAGTCACGAGTGGTGTTCCCCAGGGCTTAGTATTGGGGACAGTCTTGTTTAACACCTTTCTCAATGATCTGGATGACGGGACTGAGTGCTCCCTCAGCAAGTTTGCAGAGGATACCAAGTTGGGCAGGGGTGTCAACCTGTTTGAGGGTAGGGAGGCTTTGCAGAGGGATCTGGACAGGCTGGATCAATTGGCCAAGGCCAACTGTATGAGGTTCAACAAGGCCAAGTGCCAGGTCCTGCACTTGGATCCCAACAACCCCACACAACACTACAGGCTTGGGGAGGAGTGGCTAGAGAACTGCATGGAGGACAAGGACTTTGGGGTGTTGGTCGACAGCTGGCTGAACATGAGCCAGCAGTGTGCCCAGGTGGCCAAGAAGGCCAACGGCATCCTGGCGTCTGTCAGGCATAGTGTGGCCAGCAGGACCAGGGCAGTGATCGTGCCACTGTACTCAGCACTGGTGAGGCCACACCTCAAGTACTGTGTGCCGTTTTGGGCCCCTCACTACAAGAAGGACATTGAGGGGCTGGAGCATGCCCAGAGAAGGGCAACGAAGCTGGTGAGGGGTCTAGAGAACAAGTCCTATGAGGAGCAGCTGAGGGAGCTGGGGCTGTTTAGTCTGGAGAAGAGGAGGCTGAGGGGGGACCTTGACATTGGAACAGGCTGCCCAGGGAAGTGGTGGAGTCCCCATCCCTGGAGGTGTTCAAAATACGTGTAGATGTGGCACTTCAGGACATGGTTTAGCAGGCATGGTGGTGGTTGGTCAACGGTTGGACTTGATCTTAGAGGTCTTTTCCAACTATAATGATTCTATGATTCTACGAAATGTCCACCTCACAGAAGGGCCATCCTCCCCTCTTCTCCCAGGCTGTGCTGTTCTCTGATACTGTAGCATCATTCTTGCACAACCCTAAGTTGCAGCTCTTCTTCACCCCCTTTCCCACCTCTGTGCCAAGCAGCTTCCCCTCTCTGGTGTAGCTTCACTTTCGAATCTTGCCTGGACAGGAACTCTGAGCTTTCAAAAAGGTCCTGCTGGTGAGTCAACAGCCAGTTGCACACATAGCTGTAAGCAGGGTTTGTTAAGTGATGTAGATTGATCTATTGTTTGCTTCAACCCCATGTGTGGTGAGAACTGATAAGAACAATGTACTCCCCATAACACTTCTCCTCCACATTATCAGCCTCTGATCTTAATCCCAGGAGTCAATTGCATAATCCATCACTGGTAATGAGTGTGAGCTCCCCTACACAGGGGCCTTATCTCACTTGGTATCTAAAGGGCCATATGAGGTTATAGCAATAGTGCAATTAAGTAAAGGTTACATTGGCCTGAAAGTGTTAGTGCTGGCTCTTTGGGAACACTTCCACGTTATCAGAGACCAGAGGAAGCAAAAGTAAATGTCTTTCTCTGCTACAACTCACATGTATTTTCCTGGCGCTTCCACCGCTGGGACCTTCCAACCCAGCAGATCCCAGGACCGACAACACAGAAGGAGAAGCTGCCAGCCTTGGACACCTACCAACATGGACCTGTGCAAGTTTTGTGGTCTGAAGGCACGACTGAGCATGCTGGAGAAGTGCTGAAAACAGGTTGCTGTCTATCATTACTAAATGTTTCATTTACTACCAGAAATGTTTCCTGAGATGAAGGTAAAGAGTAAACACACAGGCAGTAATACTTTATCAGTGTGTCCCATTTAGCCCTGTTGCCTGCATCAATCAAAATGACACACCCATTGAGCAAACAACCCCAAATAATGTAAAAGAGAAACACAATCTCATCTTCGTCCTGCCTTCCGGGCAACCACTGCCACAGAAAGAAAAAAATTATTCCTTCTCCTAGCTCTTCCAGGGGCAGGTCACTCCATCGTGGCAAGGAAAGTTGCTGCCTTCATCTCATCTAATTCCTGTCCCAGCTAGAAAGGAGCTGATCGCACACTGATAGGCTCTGCCAAGAATTCAAGTACAGGTCTCCTCTTTCAGTAGTACCTGCACTCCCTGCCCTTCATATGGGTCACGAGCTACCTACAAAAATTATTTGCAGTGGTCTTCTTAAAGGCAAAAGTGTCTAAAATGACCTTAGAATACACTTCCCTCTGCCTGTGACTCAGCTGCAATGTAGACAATCCTGGGACAATCAGGTCAAGGCTGTCAAAGAATATTGCCTCCGGACACAGTTCATTGGAAAGCCTCAACAGTTTGGCTTCACATCTGCAGCTCACCTTTCCTCCCACGCTTGTCCAGTGTGGCTGGGCAGGGCTGCAGGCGTTGTGCCTGCCCTCACTGCTTTCTACCACACGTGGTGACTCGGTACGGTGGTCAAACCCAAGTTTTGGAATTCATTTCAGGTGCAAACGTATGAAAACAATCTCTGTTACACTAGATGTTATACATGAGGTCAGAGCAGATGGTCTCCTCTGGCCATTCAACCCACCTCTTTCAAACACATGCTGGGCTACATTTAAGAGCAAGTATGATAGCGAGATACCCATGCAGGATGGAAAACCTGTGGTTGACCCTTACAAGTGGGTGAGCTGAGGACCAAAGCACTTCTGGAGCTGCACAGCAGCAAATACCAAGAGCAGAAATTCAGCTGAAGTTTACCAGTGAGCAAGGGCAAATGGCTGAACTGTCCAGGCCTCAATCACATTTCAGATGCACGACAGTTTGGGGCCCCAAAGTTGGAAAAACAGGGAAAAAAAAAACCCAAACCACCACTAACAGCACAATGGTTATAGTTCGCATTTCGATCAATGAAACACTATAGGCCATCAGATATTAGGAAGGATGAAGGACAACAGAATTGTATGTTTCTTGGAGAAGTTGCTACAGTAAACCTTACTCTAGAGAGGCTGGGTACAGCATCTCAGGCAAGGCACGGTGTGAGTAAAAAGAAGAGGTAGAGAGGTCTTCTCCAGAGACACATCCTAGAGAGGTCTGTTTCTCTCTGTTGCCACAGATCTAAGTGCTTTTGAATCTGCTTTGAGCCTGCAAAGCGAGACAGCAGAGAGCTCAGTCCATCCATCAGTCCCATTGCTTCACTGGGCAAAAGGCTTGTGTCAAGCGAAAGTTCAGGACCTGCTTCAGGTATCGTGTGAACTGATGGATATAACCAGCCCACGCTACATCCCAAGCTGCAGCACAAGGGAGCGCAGCTCTCGTCCCAGAGAATGGCTATGAAATCTCCAGTTAAAGGAGCATAAATCTCTTCAATCACCAGCTGCACTCATTCAGCAGGGAAAAGACGGAACACATAAATCTCCAGAGGCTCACTTCCAGTAGGAAAGGCAGGCAGGGACTTCTCTTCTGGTGGCATTTCAAGCACCTTTAATGAGACACATCATTCAGATGAGGCTAAAGGAGATGTTTCGTGTCTCTTGTGCCAGCTGGCTCATGCCTTTGCTCAGGCTAATCCCAGCATCACATAGAGACAAGACCTTCAGTTTTTGTTGGGATGACATGGTGACCAGGGCAGGGGAGGACAGCCAGCGGTTGGTAAGCTCACATGCGTCCAAGGATCTGTGGGGTCAGTGCTAAAACTTTCCATTGCTTTTATTAAGCAAGACCATAAATATCCCTTGTGAGTAAAACATCTCTTAGGGTTGCCATTCTGAACGCCCACATCAGGCATTTCAGGGCAAAGCTGTGATTAATTCAGGTGTATCTACATGGCTGGTTAAGCTTGGGACCAAGTCCTGTGCTGAGATGAGACAACCCCACCCTGCAAGCCTACAGTAAACTGTTGTCTTATCCTGAGATCTAGTGCTGCCTGGAGAAGGCGGGCACTCGTGCTATCATGGCCCCAGGCTCATTGTGTCAGCAGCTTTGATCTGCCTTGGTACAGTCAAAGGTGAGCACATTGTGTGTGTGACTGCCTGTCTGCAGGTGTTCCATACACAGTTCTTCTTGGTCAGAGGCTTTGAACAGGCAGCAGCAGGGACAGAAACGCACAGGTTCTGGGCCATCAGACCTGTTCTTCATCTCAATACAGGGATGTGACTGCAGAAATCAACAAACAACTTACTACAGGGACACTTCCTTTTTCTTCTTCCATCCATGATGCTCTGCCTATAATAAGATGCAACATATGTTTGTCATACAGCAATTTCCCACTAGGAGAAAAGTACCCAAATATGCCTTTAACTTTCTTCAGTTGATGTTCACCAGAGGCAACAAGGCTTTCCAGCACCCCTGTTGCTGCTCCATTAATTCACTGCTGCAGCTTCGGCGATGAAACAGCCCAAGACCTTGCAGTGATGATACAGCAGGCAGGAGAGTTTCCCAGGTCAGCGGCATTTGTAAGGGTCTGAGCAAACACCACAGGCGAGCAACTGAACCTGTAGACTTTGAAATTGGATCAGCAGGAGCTTGAGGCAGCAGCGACCATGTTCTGCAGAAGCAACTATGTCCTGCAGCATCACTCAATGCCAGGAAGGAGGATCGGTGTCACCTGCAGGAACAGTGTTTGATTTAGACACCTTCCATCCCTCCCACCCTCTACTTTCCTTGCACTGTTGGTATACCCCTTACTATTTTTTCCCCTTCAGCTCGGTGAGGATGAAGTGGGCACACAGGGGAGAACAGCAGCCTGCAGCAGCTCCTCAAGAAGCTCAGCACAGCTCAGCTTTCTCCTGCTCAGCTGGCAGAGACCAGGCAGACGGAAAATTGCTCTGGCCTCCCAGCTACTTCATAGACCCAGTCCCTTCAGGGAAGAGTGTCGGATTTGACAAAACATAAGGCTTCTGTGTCAAACATGTGCAAACGGGCACAGTCGAAGGACTACAGGCAGGAATTACATGGGCCGCTGAAGTAATTGAAGTAGAAAACCTTGGAGCTGGAATTAAGACCCATAGGGAGGGAGGGGAAACAACCAGCTCCACTCTGTTTCTTGAATTAGCAGATGCAT